ATATCTGAATGGAGTCCATTAAGTTGACAGATTGGAATAGGGATGGTGAGCTACTGTAATATTCTATATTTCACACTACAACACTGTCAAGAACAGAGTAACTGTAATCTCTCTTTGTCTTAACTTAACATCAGACAATACATCAAGCCTGTCTGACCTGCTTAAGTGGTCTATTTCTGATGGTGTTGGTAATTTCAGTGGCAGTAAGAGCAAAATTTATTCAGACATTAAAAAGTTGTCAGTCTGAGGCAAAGACTGAATGGCAGTTGTCTCTGCAGTAATCTACAATAAACAAGTGTGTATCCAGTTTACAGTAATTGAATTCAGTTTGTATTTACATGCACAATAGCGGTGGAGTTTCAGTTGCTTTTATAGAGAGAATGGGACATGATGATATGATGATTTAAACAAAGATTTAAATGTCATTTTAACCACAAACAGAAACAAAAAAATATGAACAACATTTTATTTATTTTTATCCAGTGTTTTTATTTTTCAAATAGCATTTTCCATGCTAAAATACTACAAAAACATATAAATTTTGTTTTGCAAATGAACGTTCAACAAACAATCATAGATCCAAAACATTCGACAACATGTTTTGTGCAATCTTCAGTGTGACTCTTTCTGAATGAGATCCAGCCACTCATATAACAATCTGGCATAGTTTTAGCATGTTCCTTTCCAGCCTTCTTAAACTGTGACATGTGTCACAGTTTAAGGTTTAAGCAATTATTCTCAAGCGTCATAGTTTTTTGTTTGGGGACTTGTGAAATTTAAATTGATTTTCTTCAGCTTGTCATCTGTCTTTTTCTTTTTTTTTTTTTTGCATCTGTGTTGCTCAGATCCAGACATCAGTGCCTCCTGGTACACAGGCAGGGGGATCAGACCTCTTGGGAGATTTGGTCGAAAAGCTGCAAGAAGAAATGAACTTCTGGCTTTCATCACAGCGAGAGTTTATAGACCGACAGCTGACAGCGGCGTTTGGATCACACAATGAGAACACTGTGGATCGTTGAATAGCTGCTATGCTCTCATTGTTTTAGGTTAAGTAATGGAATTGGTCTTAGATTTAGGAGTTTTCTAACATTACGT